GAGTACTTGTTGAAATCACTCACAAAAGCTGCTTAAGATCCATTGTCCTTGTGCAGACAGTTAAAGTCAAAGATCAGCCATCCAGCTGAGTTAATTATAGACGACAGCTCTATACCAGAAAAGAATCGCATCGAACCAAGTCGAGAGAACTTCTGGCTCAGGCAGTTCGGGGCAAGTGGGCAAGCGCGCCTAAGGACATATAGAAATCCCGCACAGTTGGAGATTTGGCGCGAAAGGAAAACAGTGTGCGAGGCAGAGAGAGAGAGAGGGCATAATATAGGGCATCTGAAACAGCAGTTAGCTTAGACAATTGAATAGATCTGCAGGCGATTACTAAGTAGCAGCTGTCCTAAAACCAAATTGACCAAACATTTATTAGCTGAAGTTGACAAAATAACTATGTGCTGGGAAAGGGTATCCGAAAAGTGTGGCATTCTTAGCTGTTATAGAGTATACAAGATGCTGCATACCAAATTTTGTGTATCGAACTCTTAGAGTTCTCGAGTTATGCTCTAAGATCAGAGATGTCTATAATTCGATAAAAGTTTATAATATAACTTGGCTCTGGGAAAGGGTATCCAAAAAATGAAACATGCTAAGCTGTTAGGGTCTCTACGAGAAGCTGCATATCAAGTTTGGTGTAGCTAGCTCTTATAATTCTCAAATTATCCCTAAAAATAACAAAATTTAAAAAGTTTACAATATAACTTGGCTCTGGGAAAGGGTATCCAAAAAATGAAACATGCTTAGCTATAATAGAGTATACGAGAAACTGTATACCTAGTTTGGTGTAGCTTACTTTTATAATTCTCGAGTTATGCTTAAAAATCAAAAAGGTTTATAATATAACTATGCACTGGGAAAGGGTATCCAAAAAGTGAAACATGCTTCGACTTTATAGACTCTACAAGAAGCTACAGCTACCCAGTTTGAACTATCTAGCTCTAATAATTCTCGAGTTAACCCTAAAAATCTAAAACCAAATCAAAATTTACAATATAACTAAGCCGTGGGAAAGGGTATCCAAAAAGTGAAACAATCTAAGCTGTTATAGAGTATACAAGAAGCTGCATACAACGTTTGGTAAATCTAGCTTTTATAATTCTCGAGATAGGCTTTGCTATCAAAAATGTCTAAATCTCGCAAAAAAAATATAAGAAATATTTGAAAAATGTTAGAAGCAAGCTTAGGGTGACTACAAGTCGGTCAGTCGAGCTCAAGACTCTTCCTTTGATTTGAGCTTTGCTTTAACGTAAGCTCTTGGCCTGCGCCAATAAAAATGATGTGCAGCTAATTAATAGCTAGGCTGACCTCTATATGCACTCCATATATCGACACATCATTAGTTTACTGGATATATATACGGTATATATATATATATATATGTATATATATATGCGTATATATATTTTATTTGTTTCCTGCGAGGCATTATCGCGCATTTTAATAGCTTTGCGTGCTTTATGGGGGCGCCTAATGGCCAAAGTTAAAGCCCTGATGCCTTTTGCTGATTTCCCTTAAGCACTTTGTGATGCCTTTTTTTTTTTATTTTATTCTTTCTTTTTTTTTTTTTTATTGCCATTAACACGCGCTGATAATTGTTCTGGTATTTTTGACATCTTTTTTTTTTTGTTGCCTGCGCCCGCATACAAATATTTATTTGCAATTGCTGATAAATTTATGAAAAAAAAATAATTAAATTGAAAAGAAATTGCGCATTTATGAAATTCCAAAGCAAATAGTTCTCGCTATGATAATTTCCCACAAGCAAATACAATTTGGACTCAAGCCGAAAGGGCGCATAAGTTAAAAATGTTGCTTGTACTTGTTATTTATTTGCATGGGCCAAAAAAAAGAAAAATGAAAAAAACGAGGCCCACTCAACAACAAAGGAATGTGATAAAATATGAATACAACAAAAGCTGTCAGCTACAACTGGCTGTATCTGTATCTATAGCTGTATCTATAGCTGTTGCTGTAGCTGCATTTGTATCTGTATCTATAGCTGTGTGCATAGCTGTATCTGTATCTGAATCTATTTGCGTTTGTCAAACAGCAGCAGTCAATTAGGCGCACGTCCAACTCGGTTATGTCATTATCCAAGGGTTGCAAGGGTCGTCCTCCTGCTGCTGCTCCTGCTTCTGCTCCTCGTGTAAATAAAAAAGGGCTCGACGGCCTCTAATAGCGTTAAATTAAAACAACATAATCAACAACGTTGCGCCCTTGTCACATAATTTAACACGCACTGTCTCTCTGTGTGTCTCTGCTCCCCTCCGATAGATAGATAGACGGGATTGCCGGGTTTCATTGCCGGGATCGTATTTGCATTTCGCTTTGGTTTGCCGTACAAGTCAATGGCTTTCCATTTGGATTGTCTGCATGGAAGCACATAATTCATGTGCGTAAGCACGCCTCAAAAGTCAAAGAACAAATTGTTTTACATGTGCCAATACTTTTTATGGACGTGGGGCGAATTGCACTACTCCGATTTCTGGCCCAAAGCAATAAATTTTTGATCAATAGAATAATAGATAAGTAGCTCGTAAGGAAAGTGTGAGAAGTCGAGCATATGATTATAGAAAGGGTTCTATATAGATATAGATATATGTACATATATAGTTTTTAATTTTTAATTTCCATATAGAATAGTTTACCTAGGAATCTAAGCCTAAGCCTAAATATAGATCTGACTGATCGGACATTTTCTTTAGAGATTAATATAAGAAAATTAACATCTATAATGTCTATAACAGATATATATTTGTATATTAAATCTTTATTGAGCTGGCTTTAGTTCTAGCTAAAGAAAGATTTGTCAAAACCAGCATTAAATATTTATATATGTCTTAAGCGTATTCAAATTTTCGATAAACTCAATGAATGTAAAAGAAAACGGGAAGAAAATGTCGAAGTTGAAATAGCTTTGCAGACATGTAGATATATTTATTATATGATATAAATTTCTCTTATATCAAGTTACAGAATGTGCTATTTATATGTAATATAACTGGATTAATCCAATATATACATTGATAATATCGATAAATATCGATGTTGAGATATTTTTTATATGAGACTAAAATAGCTTGATGGATATGGCCATATATGTTTATGTATAGTACGTACAGATCGAAGATATTTTACTCTTTTGTTGCCTGCCTTCAAAAGAAATGCTCAACTTTAAAGGTAGAGCCTTGCGCTTTGGTATATACAAACTTAAGTAGCCCATATTCAAGACCTAAGAATTTCATTTGAATTGGATTGTAAACAGCGAAGTTAATCAAGGCTGCATTTTCTATATGTGGAGGAAGTATCTCCTCCCTCCCTTTTCGTTCAAATCGACTTTTATTTAATTTCTAGAAAATTAAAGCTCAATAAATCATTCACAGCTTAAAATAGCCGCATATCTTTAAGTACGTGTTAATTGTTTGCAACTGCCTAACGAATTGCCTCGCATACAAACAACACCCTCACACACACACACACACACACACAACACGTAACAATGTGTGTGGCATAAACTTTGACGACAGATACAAAATTAAGTTGCAAACAAAACAGCCCACAGCCAAAAAATCAACCTTGTGTGTGCACAGCCCAACCGCACACCCACCCACACCCACACACACACACACACACACACCGCATTTTTGTTAGCTGAAAAAAAAGGCAAGCAAAAAGCGCAACAGAAAATGCCCCCGCGGGCCAAAAGGCAACGCAGTCGCTTTCAATTATTGCCGTGAGTTTTTTCTTTGTGGCCAATACACACACACACACACACACACACACACAACTACACACACACAGCCATTAGGCTAATGTGCGCTTATTGCGCACGCTTTGGAACAGGAACAGACGCAGGTGGCAGCAAGTCAAATCAACCCCCACACACACACACACACACACACATACACAGACACATGGTAAATGGGGTTGGGGGCAGCCACAAGCCAGAAACTTGGCGCTGTCTGACTGCAAAGGTCTGTTAAGTGTAACGGGGCATGGAGGAGGGAGGGAGGGAGGGGTTGGGGGAGCTGCTCACGTTGGGGATGGGCGTAAAGCCACACACAGAGAAAACCGCAAACAAGCAAGGTGTGTGTGTGTGTGTGTGCGCGAGTGTGCGAGCGGGACAGCAGGCGCACAGCAGCCAACTGTATCTGTATCTCTCGGTTTGTGTATCTGCAGCTGTGTATCTGTGGCTCTCTGTCTGCCTGCGAGTGTGTGTGTGTGTGTGTGTTTGCGTGTGTGTGGGTGTGCATAATGAATGCGAAGATGTGCACGCCCTATTATCCTGCGCTGGCTCCTCCCCTCAGCTGCTGCGGCTCTGTTGCTGTGTTGCCATAGATGCGGCCCACGTTTGTCGTGTATCTGTGAGATACATAGCAGCAGCTGCTGCATTCTGATAGGAAAACTGTGTTGGTAAATAAGCGCGCTATATATATGTGTGACTGTGTGTGTGTGTGTGTGTTTGATATCCTTTTGTGGCCAGGCAGACAACAACAAACAGCAGCAGCAGCAGAGGCAGCGGCAGCGGCAGCAGCAGGAGTTCGCAATTCGAATCAGAAGTTCGTGCCGCAACACGATGATGATGTTGTTGATGATGATGATGATGATGACGTTGATGATGCTGCTTATGGAACTGACACAGATTCAAGCAGCAGAAGAGAGCGCTCTGCTACTCACATATAGCTGCAGGGTAGATACACGCTCTCTCTCGCTCTCTCCCGCTCTCCTTTGCAACCCCTGCTGCGGCAGATAGTCGGGCAGCTCGATCATCATCATCATTATAATGAGCATCATCTGCTACCACCACCACCACGACCAGCAGCAGCAGCCAACCAAAGCGATGCCTCTGCTGCCGCTGCCTCTGTCGCTGCCTCTGTCGCTGCCGCTGCCGCTGCTAACCGCTGCCATTTCCATTTCCCTGCTCAGCAGTCAGTCAGCACATCCTCAGTTAGTCAGTTAGTTGGTCGCTGTGCGCGCTCGTTAACGGCATCACAGTCGCTGCCAACGCCGACGTCGACGTCGCTGCCAGCGCTGACGCGGACGTACGCTCGGGTTTATCGGCGCGCTCTGCCAGCGTCGCGTATCCGTACGGTACTCAGTCTTGCGAAGACAACCGGCAGATAGAGACGACACCAAATCAAATAGAAATCAAAATACAAACAAAATACTAACAAAATATTATTGCAGTGCATAAATAAAATATACAAAAAAAAATAAAAAAAAATAATACTCATACGCAACGTGGGCCGCGCTTTGTAATCATGTCGCGTCGTGGCGTGCGGCCCCTCGGCAAATGTATCTGAAAGTGCATTTTATTTACAATTTGAATTTCGTGTGCTTTGTTTTGGCTTAGAGAGAAACGCGTAACATGTTATTCGATCGTTATATTACATCAGGTTGGTTTTCTTCAACAACTTTTATCGCTTATCTAGTGTCTATCGTGGCTGGATATGTCGCCCCCCCCCTCCCCTCCACCCCTATCATACCCCGCCGCGGGGGCTGTCTCTGTTTGTGTGCGTTTATCAGTTTTTTATGGCGAACGTCAAGTTTTGAGTTACCAATTGATGTTGCCACAAATATTTTTTGCAACAGCTACATTGAAACAGAGACATTAGAGCTATGCCCAGCCCCCCTGCACCGCCTGCACCCCCCCGCCCGCATACGAACAAACATTGTGACTATATAGAAAACGGATTTAGTTTTCCATTCATTGTGTGACAGTGCGGACGTGTGTGAGAGAACTTCAAGACTTCTGTGAGTGGGCTAATTAAGTGTGAACAAAGCGCAAAAAATGCGCTTTTCAATGCACGTATCTCATAGATACTTAGTTACCCAAAGTATCTTAAGGATACGGACATGATGCAACTATGCAAACACGAAAGTATTATCATGCATACTTTATGCAGAGTATAATGAGAAAAACGAAATGTTAAGAATATGGATATTCAGTTCAAGTATCTCGTAGATACTTTTCGGAAAGTATTTTCAAAACATAATGTAACCAGCAATCACAGATATATCATATGTCGTACGAAAATCGAGACAAAAATAAGCCTGCTTTTAAAATAAGTATCTTGTAGATACTTTTCGGAAAGTATCTTAGATGCCCAATGCAAGCAACAGTCATAGATACATCTTGAAGTGTATTATAAAAACTTTGATTTTCAAATAGGTATCTTCTGGGTACTTTTCGGAAAGTATCTTTGATACACAATGTAAGCAACAGTCATAGATACATCATGAAGTTTATAAGTGGGTATCTCATAGATACTTTTCGGAAAGTATACTAAGCTTATGAATATGAATAATTTCATAGATACTTCATACAGCGTGTAATGGGGGCAAGAATATAAGAACTAATATTTATAAAATACTTTATATAATCTGTATCTCATAGATACTTTTACAGCATAATCAGTGGAAATATAACTCAAGATAATTTAAGTAATGCATCTGATAAAAAGCAAACATATTAACTATCAATTAGTTAAAATATATAGCATAGATACTTGTTCAGGTATTTCATAGATACAATATAGAGAGTATCTAGAGAAATTAAACAAAGATGTGCTTCTATTATAAAGGTATATGTACTTGACAAATCGTATCTTGAGGTCACAATTTCTTTAAATTATGAAACAGATTCTTTATATGTAATCCAAGGATGATTAATCCATGAATATGTATATATATATACATATATATCTTTATTGAATTTATGACAGATACTTTACACAGAGTATCTTTAGAAAGAACAGCTTCAAATATATCATAAATACTTTATTTATAGAATCGTGATTTATTCATGCACTCATTGAGAATATCTTATAGATATTTTATAAAAAATATATCTGTGGCAATATTATTTGGTCATATTATAGATACTTTGTATAGAATATCTTCGAAAAAAGTACCGTGATTTATTTAAAAAGTACTCTTGATAACTGTATGAAAACTCGATTAAATAGAATCAAGAGATATTATTTATAAAAAAATGAGAATTTGATATGCCTGATAGATAAATCTTTGAAGCCAAAGAAGTATTGGGAAGCTCCTGAAGAAATTTGTGCGTTCTTTATAAACTTCTAAGTGCAAAGAAATGCATTCTGCTAAAGTTTCGACAAAGATATAAAAATGATAATACAGATCTTATCCCATTTGAGCTGGAAAACTATAGAAGAACCCTTGAGAATAGCACAGTAAAAACTTGAGATCCTAGTTAGATACTTGAGATACTTTTGTTTGCCTAAAATATGCGGAGAAAAAAGTGTGAAAGAAAAACTACCTAAAGCAATATTGTAAAGCTGCTTTCAGCTCGAATGAGTCACAGTTGGCATGTTATCAAAACAAAGCGCAGCTTCCAACAGTTTAAAACAAATCCCAAATGTAATTAACTAAACTAATTAGCAGAGACCCCAAACAGAACCAAACGAAAAAAACGAAAAAGAACTGCAGCCAAAACACATGTTTCCAAGTGGATGTGAATAATAAATAGTCATGATAGCTGCGAAGAACCGAAAGAGGAAGCTACCCCAAAAAAAAAACTGATACCGAGTACTCTAATCTATACATATATATATAGTGCTGCCAGCCCTGGCTAGCTGATTTGGTCCGATCGAAGACAACAAGCCGACGGCTCGGCTAGAGCTCCGGGATTTGTTGAGGATCGGAACGGATCGGATCGGATCGAATTGGGATGCAAATAGCGTGTGCCCAGGCAAGTGCGAAACCTGCCAGCTAGCCGAGGTAGGACTCGTATTTGGGCTAAACAAACAGTTCGGCGGTAAACCATTTGCCAGTTGCGTCTGTTTATATGGCAGATACTTATCAACTGGCCACATTCGTATTACCGTTCCAGTCTATTCTCTCTCTCTGTGTGTGTGATATCTTTTTTCGGGCTCTCGTTTTCGTTGTTGTCGTTCTCGTTTTCATTTGGCTTCTTATCTTGGCTATTTGCTGGCCTGTAACTTGGACAGCGCTTGTCATATATTGTCTAACAGCTCAAATTACGATTTAGTTTCAAGTGTTTAAATAAGGCGGTAGGTAGGTACAAGCCCCAGACAACAAAGACAACAACAACAACAACAACAACAACAACAACAACAGCAACAACAACAGCGGCAACAAATAAATAAATAATCGGTGCGTAATTTGTGCAACATTTTGGACAAGTGTTTTTTTTTTCATGATTAGCTCTGTGTGTGTGTGCCAAGGGTTGTTAAGTTCCGACATTTGTGGGCCAAAAAGAAAATGGGAATTATGTGGACCGGGAAAGACACACAGAAATCGGTTGAAGTTCTTGACTTTAGTGCGAGCTTGAGATGGAAAATATCTAAAGAATATACAAAGAGAATTTGTGCGCATCCTGCCTTCGTTTTGTGAAGCTGGAAATCAGTTTAAGTGCTTGACTTTACTTCGAGAATACATAAAAAAAAAAAAATGGTCGCTGGCTCGTTTGACGGTTCGAACCAGCGTGCTGCCTGGAGGTGCGTTTTGTGAACCTCGAAATCAGTTTAAATTCTTGACTTTAGTTCGAGCTTTGGGTAAAAAATATATTTGAAGAATATACCAAACTAATGGTCGCTGGTTCGTTTGACGGTTCGAACCAGCGTCCTCACTTGAGCTTTGGTTCGTGCAACTGCTTTTTTACATATATAAAGCCAGTTTTTGGCATAAGTCTTAGCTGGTCGTATATTTTATTAACACAGTTTAATTTACTATTTGGTATTTTGAATAAGATTTTCATAAAAAAGTCGCCCGCTAAATTTGATCTATGACCACAAAAGACATCTACATACATATCTGGTTAGATACATCCAAAAGTTGGGGCGAAAATTATTTACTTTTTTCGAGCTGATACTCCCTCTAAAAAGATAGTTCGTTTTTTTCACATTTTAATATAATTAATATAATTTTATATAAAATAAATATTCTTCGCATTGTATACATAAAAAAGTGCTTCTTTTTATCTTGCTTTAAATGTTTTCAAAATGAATTCTATATATTCAAATATAAATCAAGTTTGTTTTTTAAACATGCTTCGGAAAAGTAATAATAATAATATAATAGTAAAAATATTCTGCAAGCAGGCTTCACACATTCTAATATATAAGAAAATGAAATTTTATAGATTTTCCTTAATATAAAATAATAATAATAGTAATAGTAAAAGGCTTCGTCGTATCAAGCCTTGATTCGAGTGGAATTTTCACTGAAAGTAGCCAGAATATTTAATCCTAAAAATGCTATTAAATATTTTACATATTCTTTTATATATATTCGAAGCATTTAAAAAGATTTCAGCTCAATTTATTACATTTAAATTCAACGTAGAAATATTTACATCCGACCTAAGATCGAGAAGAGCTGAAAGCGAGTATTTGGAATATTTGGACAAATGTAGTTTGCCTCGTCCATAATAATTAACTAAATTTGTGGGATTTATTTAATTACCTAGCCAAATATCAGTTCACATAAGAAGTTGATTATTATGAAAATGGAATGAAACAAATAAGAAAAGCTATAAAATATCATTTGGGGGAAACATCTATCGCTGAGTTAAATGTCATCTCAAATGTCTAGTCTGGTTCGGGGAATCGTTGTTCTGTTGTTTTGTCTATTTATTTGATAAACAACAGCTGAACAAGTCACATCTTTCGAAATAAATAGAAAACAAATGCACAACTAGAAATAGAAAAATAAAAAAATCAAATAAAGGAAATAAATTTAATATTGCAAATAAACAAAATAGTTATACAAATATTTCGAATTGTTACGCCTAGGCATTCAGTTCAAAGACATTGTTTGCACAGGCTGCATAACAACAAGCAATAAAACAAAAAAACACAATCCAGGTAATTCGATCTACAGGTGAGCTTTAAACACACACGCGCACAGATAATCGATGATACGAGCGTCGCGTCCAATTGGGCTGCCTCCACTCGTCGACACTTTTCAAGTGCACAGCAATTGCAAAATTCAATGAGATAGAGGCACCCGAACACCCAAATTAAACAGCGATGACAACGCCGATAACAGCCGATAACACAGCAGGTGTGTGTGTGTGTGTGTGTGTGTGTAGGTGTGTGTGTTGTCTTTGACAGGCCTTTATCTAGAGCGCTTTCTATTTGCGGACTGACAGTCGCTGAGCAATTCCATCTTGATGGGCCACTCGAGCAAAGTCCAAACTCTATCGTTAATCGTATATCGTAATCGTTTATCGTAATCGTTTATCGTAATCGTTTATCGTTAATCGTTAATCGATTGTTTTCCTTTTTGGGGACAGGCTCTAACGGCGACGACTACGATCCGAGCGTCGTGCGCCATCATCATCATCACCATCATCATCTGGATCTCGGCGGCGGCGCTGCGACGGCCTTTGGTCAACTGCCGCCGGCGCATCTGAGGCCCGAGGACACGTTCGCCCGCCACCTGCCGCCCACGATATCCCCGCCGTCAGCAGCGCTGCAGCAGCAGCAGCAGCAGCAGCAGCAGCCGCCGCCGCCGCAGTTGCCGCAGTTGCAGTTGCTGCAACGGCAGCTGCCGCGTTCGCCGCCCGCCTCCGCCTCTGCCTCCGGTTCCGGTTCCGGGTCTGGTGCCGGCGGCCACATGGAGCACTTGTTCAATGACAAGGCGCAGCAATTCCTGCTGGAAATGGCGCGCCTGCGCGAACCCGTCTGTGATCTGGATATACGTGATACTGGCGTCTATGCCAAGACACATCTGCCCCGCGGCACCCGCTACGGACCCTTCCCCATGCGCCTCTGCCAGCAGCCCAGCGATCGCCATCTGGCCTGGGAGGTGAGTACACCTATAATTACCTAATCTCTATACTCCACATAAAGCACAGCTCCCAACATCAGCTTCCAAAATGGAAGTATTCCAAATTCCTACCTATATCCAGGCCCAAAAGAGAATTATTGCATTTTCTTCATATATTGTCATAATATATCTTATATAATAATATAAGTTATTATAATAATTATCTTTCTTTCATACTGCAACGTTTACCGGCATCTTAGCCTCAGATAAAAAATCTGTCTTACATATATAAAATATTTTATAAATCAAGGAACTATTTTTATAAATTCTTCACTATTCACGTTCTACTTTCCCATGCCATTATAGTTGATCTTGAGCTTGGAGTCTGCAATAATGTGATAGATATGGTAGATATGATATATATGGTAGATATGACATATATGCTAGATATGATAGATATGACATATATGTTAGATATGACATATATGATAGATATGATATATATATAAACAGAACTGTGCAAATTCTATTGCTGTTCCATTTCCATATAATGATTGCCTTTAAATACCTTAACTATCTCTGACTTGCGCGCGTCTAACAATAGTTAATCTCTCATTTCTGATTATATTAAAGCAATTATTGAACAACTTAAATAGTTCTCAGAATTCAAGAGCTTATCATTAGCCAGAAGCGAGCCAGATACCATTATCATGCAGACTTTAATAAAAAACTAATCACATTTGATTATTATAGTTTTTTTCTTTAATGGGAATATTCCATTTTTTCGCTCTCCTCATATTATAATAATATATTTATTACTTCTCATTATATACATAAATCTTGCGCTTAACCCAAAAACCGCAAATGGAGAATTTCTCCGACTAATTGCAAATCGTTTGCCGTGAAAATGATATCAATATCAAATAAATGCCCGACATAATCCTTTCGCATATGTCCAAAAAAGTCTCCAATTTCCGTTTTTTTTCCCGTTTTTTTGGGAAATTTAATCCCATCAAAGCTGCGCGTGAAATTTTTTTGCGAAAATTGCACAAAAATTGCGAGAATTTCATTTTTTTTTTGGTCCGAAAATCAAACGATTGGAAATAGATTTGATTAGGCCGTGTGGCTCGGGAGGGGGGGGGGATTGTCAGTCAAATGTGCCTAATCCTTGGCCAGAGCTAATTTCCTGGTCGCACACCGGGCCAATCCACAAAGTGCACCCTAAATGAGGCTTAAGTTGAGGCACGGACCCGATGATTCCAATTAGTTTGGGACGCGCCCGAACCCTTCGATTGATTGTCACTCAGTCAGTCGGTCCGTCTGTCGCTCTGTCGGTCGGTCGGTCAACTGACACTTTAGCTCAGCTCCTGCGGCAGGCAGACAAACTGACAGACAATCCAATCAAATTATCGCGCCTTGAGCCAGTTGACAATTGCGAAAGGTAGCTGGCTCTAAGGCTCTACCTGGCCGGAAAGTATCTCGTGGCTGTCAGTCGGGTATTGCAACAATATTATTGTTGTTGCCACTCGAGCTGGCAACTGAAAATTGCCAAAGGACACGTTGACAGTCCTCGCGCTGATCCCAGTCTCCCTCTCTCTCCCTCTCCCTCTCTCTCTCTTTTATTATTATATTTTTGCTCTAGATGATCCTCAAATCAAGCGCACTTTTCTCTCGTTCACATTTCCGTTTTGACAGATACATTGGCTCTATCTGTATCTGTATCCGTAGCTGTAGCTGTATCTGTATCTGTAGCTGTAGCTGTATCTGTATCTGTATCTGCAGCTCTGGCAATTTGAAGCCCCTGCTCGTGGTGTGAACTGAACACTTTCCAGAGAGATTATCTCTGGCGCGTAAATATTTTTCTTGCCCATTGACTGTGCCATGTTTTTCGTGCCTATTTGTGGCCTCTTTTTTTTTTAATAAACTTATGAATAGCCTGTGCGGCAGCGGGTAACGGTAGCAGCAGGACCTGGGGATTAGCCCTTCAGGAACAACAACAACAACAACAACAACTTGGCGCTGATCTCGAATAACGGCACAGCCGTCAGCATCTTTGGCATGTTTTGCACAGTTCTTTAGCCTTGTTATCTACATCTATATCTATTGGATATCTTTATGATCCTATCTTTTAGTGGCTGACTCGTATTGCAGCTTCCGTTCCGTTCCGTTCCGAGCTAATGCTAATCTCTTTGGACTGTTTATTGCTTGTCGTCGTCGTCTCCCTCAGATTAGCTCATGCTGTTTGTTGTTGTTGCGGCATCAAATGGAACCGATTTCTTGTATAAATAACACTTGCATCGGCATCATTTGAAAAGTATTACATACCAAAAGCATTTTTTTCTATCGCTTTTCTATCCTCCTATTTGTAGGTTATCCTTTTATGCAAACTTCACATATATAACATTTCCATTTATTTCTACAAACAAAAGTTTTACATACCAAAAGCATTTTTTACTTTACACAACACTGTTTCGTTTGCAAAAGTATCGCCTTTCTATCGCTTTTCTATCCTCCTTCCAAAGATCTTTCGCTGAATTTGTTGGTTATCCTCTTTTGCATACTTCACATACATATATAACATTTTCACACATACATATAAACTCCTCGTTAATTGAAGCCCCACTCGCTCTACATATACACACACACACACACATACACATATTTCACATATCGTTACACACCGCACTTGACCATAAATGCGCACACACACACAGACTAACACACTCACACACACAGCTGCTGCGCTCATGTGTAAACCGCAACTTGAATTTTATTTTATAAAAATGCTTGCTTATGCATATAAATACAAATAAATGTGTGCATGTGTGCGTGTGTGTGTGTGTGTGCCTCGATAAAAAGTTGGTTTCAAATAATTCTTTGCATAAGCCGCGGCGCAAGCACTCGAAGCGTTGTTAACTTAATTTTTGGAGCGTGCACAAACATATGCTCACACACACACACATGCACGCACACACATCAATCGCCCACTCTCATGCTCTCAAAGCTCTGCTTGCTGCCGCAGCGCTGCCCAAACTCTGCAGACTCTCCCACTCAAAAGCACACACACACACACACACACGCACGCACGCAGACGCTCAGCACTTAATGAAGAAAGAAAAAAAAATACCAATTCTGTAAAACGCCGTTTTTCCATTCGACTTGTCGGACAAGAGCCTGACGGCGGCTGGCGTTGACTGCGGCGGCGTAACGGTAAGCCCAAGTCATTTCGCTGCCGTTGTTGCAGCTTTCGCTGCTGCTGCTGTTGCTGCTTCTGTTGGCGTCGCAGCGTCTTTGGCTGCCAAACCGCAGTCGCCGATTTGTATAAATTATGCGTATTTAGCGGCGCTTTATTGTTGTTCTTTTTGCTGTTGTTCTTGTTGTTGTTGTTGCTGTAGCTGAGACGGCGCTGCTTTTATTTTGCATACAAAAACTGTCGGCGGCTCTCTATTCGCTCCTGTTGTTGTTAGTGTAGTTGCTTTTGTTGTCGCTGCATTTTTTTTTTGCGGCTTGCAATTGACCTTGAGCTCAGCAGACGCTGGCAATCAGCCGGCGGGGGCGAGGGGCGTGACGTCATGCTGTGTTTAGAAGGCTTTCGAGTTTTTGTTTGCTTCAATTGGCTTCATAATAACAGTTAATCGTAATAGAACAGCAAAAATAGTACAGTGAGCACTCAAAATGATGAACTCGGTTGATTTTAGATGCATGCAGAAACACCTAATATTGAAATGCAAAATTTTATTAGTTAGAATGAAGATTATAAACGAAAAGATTAAATGCAGTACACAAACGGGTACATTATATATCTATGGAATGGACGCTAGGGTTATTCCAAAAACTATTCAAAATTTCTTTTTTCCAAATAAATTATTATTCCAAAGTATTATTATTAATAGTCATTCTTCATGTGCATTTTACTGTACCCATAAAACATAAATGTTATTATTGTTGCTTCTTTCTACTCCCACATTTTGCTACTTTTTTTACATTTTTTCTCGCATGTCTTGTTTTCGCACTAAATACTACTATTTCTTAACAAATCTACTACTATTTGACGCTCTCATATGCTGGTGGCTGTCAGCGCTATAGGTTTGTGTTTGTGCTAAGCAGTGCTCTATATAACACTTAGCACAGTTACGTGCCTGCGCAGCCAACAGATGGCGCCAGCAGTTCCATACAAATATTTAGTTAATTTAAAATTTAATTAAATAAAATGTTAATTGATTGATATTTTGTTTTACTTTCAGGTAATCGCCGGCCCGCTGTTCCATGGCTGGCTGGAGCCTTCGGCGGATGTGGCCACATGGCTGAAAAAAATACGCGCCGCGCCGAGCGCCGAAATCGAAGAGGCTAATTTAAGGAATTTCATAACCGCCGGCTATGTGCGTAAAATTGTGCCCAAAACAAATTGAGGACAATTTTTGAAAAATTTTAATGTGCATTTTCCCAAATTACCTTCCAGCTGTGGTACGAGACGAAGCGCGACGTGAATGCTGGCGCGGAAATTGTCGTCGATGCCAGGTCCAAAACCCCCTACGATATAAGCGACAGCTTCATGAACGGCAGCGCTGCGGGCAGCAGCAGCAGCGGCGCAGCAGCCGCAGCGGCGGCAGCGGCAGCGGCGGCAGCCATGGCAGCGGCAACCAACAGCAGCAGCAGCCAAAACAACAACAATAACAACAACAACAACAACTGCGATGATCGCAGCGATCGTGATAACGGTAAGTTTTTAGCTTAGCGATGGGCGCGTGACTCTTGCGCAAGGATCGGCTCAGCAGGAGCACGAAAATTGAACGAAAATGCACGCAAATAGGTAGAGAGTGCTTAAGGCATGCGACTGCGATTGGCCGTAAAGCAAAGCTGCCTTTACAAACATTCTGACAGCCTTGTAGACAAACGCACGCCCTTTTTTCCCATACTATGTAGGCTGCAGTCTTGTGTAACTCGGGTGTTTCTTGTCCGATCTTTATGAAAATTTCAGGCTCTTATAATAGCTAACAAAAATGTGTATATACCAAGGCGCAAGGCTGTAGCTTTTATAATTAGCGTTTGTGTTTGATTTTATAGAAAGTGGGAAGAGTTATTTAAAAAGAAAAATATTCCTGATCTTGACAAGATATACTTGAGCACACATACCAAGTTTGGTTTATCTAGCTCTTATATTTCTCGAGTTATGCTCAAAAAACCAAGTCTGAAAAGTGAAATCTATTGATAATATGAAAGCGGGAGCAGATATTGTAACGTGGCATAGAAGAATATGTATTTAAAAGGTCTCTAAATTAGTTGCAGCACATCTCTAGCTCAGTTTCCGATACATGCAGGCTGTGTGAGGGATATGTGTAATATATTTATATATATATTTATAATACAGCTGGGCAGCAAATTAAGCCGAACAATAGTTAGTCCGAAATGCGCGTGACAAAGCCGCTGGCACGAGCCGCGACGACAACATGATATCATCATCAACATCAGCAGCAACAACAGCAACAACAACAACAAGAAGAAGATCATCCCTCTTGGGCTTATAAGGGCTGCTGCCGCAATCACCCCTCTCTCTCTGCGCCTGCGCCCATGCAATCTGCGGCAACCGCACATGTTTTCATTTGTTATTAAAATGTTTGATAATTTCATTAGAGATCCATCAAAATGGGATAGAAACAAAAAAAAAGAAAGCGGGCTGCAAGCGATCCGCAGGCGCGCACGCTCAATTTAAGCCTAATCCAATGACACCCTAACGCTAGGGTGGACCCATTTCGTGTTCGCCTCTAAACATGTGGGATTTATGAACACGTCTCATTTGACAATTCGCAGGGCTTTGTTCCTTTGGCTTTTCAACTTTTCAAATACATATTTATTTTTTATCACGCGTCAAATCAGTTCGCTCTGTGTGAAAATTCCCTTTGATGCCAGCTTTAAATTTGAATGCGCCACGGATATTAGCATATGCCTATTATAAATATAATTATACTTATATATATATATATAAATATTATGCTTAAGCTGGCCAAAGCTCGCGCGTTGCTTTTCAATTAAAGTTCGCGTTTTCGTTTTCCATGGAAATATATGCGCACACCTGTGCAAAGGACTCGCTGCTCACTTTGTAACGTATTTTTATACCCTGTAAACTTGGAAAATTAGCAGATGGGGATATTTAACTTTTTTTATTTATTTGCCCATATCTTCCCCAAACAAAAGTACTTTTCGGCATAAATCTATGGTCTTTGGTTTATGCACATTTGAATGTGTTTTATTTAAGCCCAGAAAATTTCATTCCGATCGGACCGTAAATACCGAAGTTAACTGAGAACACATATTTAGTCGGGGTATCTTCTAGTCGCGCACGCCCTTTTCAAAGCACTCGGAACTGTTCCGTTTTCACTTTACGGCCCGTTGGGCACACGAACAAGACGCAGGTCCTTGAGGGGAGTGTGTCCTACCAGTTACCAGATGGAAGAATAAGTTCTATTACCTCGAATCGGGGGTTAGCCAAGGGCCAAAGTGTGGTTGAAATTGTAGCACAAGTCAAATGCCAAGCATCGCTGGTTAACTCGGGCCGAAGGGCAACTAAAAACTGACCGTTACAAGTTTTTCAAATTAACACAGGAATTTGAATTTGTATTCGAATGGGGAAAATGTGGTAAATGTTATATGTTAAGGAACTTGTCAAATGGGAAACAGTCAAATGTAAGTAGCTTGAAAGGGAAAATGGTATTTGAAGGAAATAATAGATAATGTATTATTTGAATTTGAGTTTAAGAATGATTACATATCCCAGTACATTTTACATATATCTGATTGCTTAAGGCCGCACAAAGACGGGTAATTTTTGGTTATTTTTAACTGATTTGAGAGATATTTATCAAGAATGGATCTGCTATTGGGATAGGAAATTAATTATCTAAAGCATTGCACAATAATGCTTCAATATTAATCAAATTTCTTAAGAATCTAGTTAGGTTTTCCGTATTTGAACTATAAAAGTTTCTATAAGGGGATACGATTCTTTTCATAAATCTGTTCAAGCTAATCTTGGCTTTAAAAGTAAGAACTATCAAAGAGAACAGCTTGAAACAGAGAAGCAGTCAAATCTATGAAGATATATTCTATATCTATTCTATTTCTATATTCTATGCCTATTCTATATATATTTTATATCTTTTTATATCTATTCTATATCTATGTTCTATATCATATCTATTTTTTATCTTTATCTATATTCTTTATCTATGGCTGAGGGCCAAACAGGGCCACAATAGGCGGGCTGTCCGCCTAATAGGAGCAACCATTAGCAGAGTTCGCACTGTACATATATTAAATTAAATTAAATTTCAATATTTCTAGACTCTGGTCACTCTGTTGTTATTAAGTTAACACTCTTCGAGTTGTTTCAATCAGATGCTGCTCCATTTCTCTAGCCAGGCGCTTGGCTTGACAAAAAACCTCATCAGGAGGCCACAGAAATGTATGAAGTAAACAGAAAAAAAAAAAAAGAAACAAGTTAACAAAAAACAAACATTAAGCCACCTTTGAGATGGCTTTCAGCTTAGCGCGCGGCGCGACTTCAATCGACCAATCAAAGATTAACAATTGCCAGTCCGATCGAGGCACAGGGAGCACACGCCAAGAGCAAGACCAAGCCCAAAACGAAAACCTAGCTGCTACACACACACACACACACACACACACACACACAACCACACACAGATACACACACATGACATTGTCGCCAACAAAGCTGATAGATGATTAATGAGCTGGCATGTTTAATGCCGAGTTACCAAAACTACCTAAACGAAAACTGAGAAACTGAGCAGCCAATAAGCGTGCTTTAATCGGGTGTGATTGAACAACAGATACCCTATGCCATGAGCCAAGCTGCCTTTACAAACATGCTAGTCTATAAATCCATGCTAGTCTATAAATCCATCGAAAGCGCATTTCCCCCACATCATATATCATATATAGGAAATGCATGCCTAACTAACTTCGGCATCTATAGTCCGATCACTATCAAACTTTCAAGACTTAAACATGACATAGAAAAGTGTGTACATGCCAAAGCGCAAGGCGCTACCTATGAAAAATCTGTTTTTAGCTATTTCGGGGGGAACGGGGGGAGTAATCCAAAAAGTGAAATATTCTTAGTCTGCCTATGCTATACAACTTATATTCCTCGAGTTATGCTCAAAAAACAATATAAACATATCGATATTTATCGATCTCATGAAAGTGGAAGGAGTTATCTAAAGAAGTAATAAGCTTCTACTGCGCTAAATATATATACATATATAAACTATCAAGTCTCTAGCCTTAATAGTTCTCGAGTTCGACTAGATTACAGAGACAGACAGACAGACAGACAGAGAATCGGACTCAGCACAAAGTCGATATTTATCGATAAATAATCGATAATGAAGCAGAATTAGTAATGAGAAATAATTAATTAGTTTTTTTTTCTGGCATAGAAGAATGTATATTCAATTTCAAGTATCCAGCTTTGTAAGTTTTCCATATTCGAATCTTTCGCACATTGATAAAGAATCTATATATTTTGTGGATTCGAACCTGCTTCCTGCTGGCTGTTACATACCTCTGCACCCAAACAGCATACCCTCTCTGGCCATTTTCAATAGGTTCAGGGTATTAAAATCGAAATCTAAAAACTGAAAACCGAAAATCGAAAACCTGGCTTCTTCAGCTAAATGATCATCGTGTGTCAATTTGGGCATCATTAGGAGTGTGTTGTGTTGTTGTTGTTGTTGTTTTTTTTTTATAAGAGACCGAACCCTTTTTTTTTATTTTTTTATTTTTGAGTTTTTTTTTTTACTTTGACCGGCTGCCAAATCGATTAGCAGGCGGATCTAACTTTGATTTTTGCCACAGTAGTCGTAAGGTGTAAATAATTCAATCAATCATTTGTCAACAGTTTTTGGCTTCCGTTTAGCGTTTCGATTCAGGGTCAGACCCCGCTCTCCCCCTCTCCCCTCTCGTTGACATCCTGATTGCAACAACTTCTGGCTAAAAACCCGCCTCCATTGAATTGTCAGCGGCTCGAGCGCTGTGGAGTAAATCAATCTAGCCAGGTGGATAGCTGCCGCTGCCTCGACAGCTGCGACTGGGTGAAAGGCGTGAAAGGATTGAGCTGCATGTGCAACAGACACGATTGGCGAGGGGGGGGGGGGCAGGAGGGGAGGGGCCTAGCCAGAGCTAAGGTTAATGCCCATTGACAAGGAATGGCTGGGAGAGAGTAGTCAGCGCGGGGTGTACACATTTGATAGATCAGCAAAGAATTGAGAGAGACTTTAAGACTTCGAGTGCAGCTCAATTAAATGCACATATAAATACTCCGAAGTATGAGTCCAAAATATGCCAAGAGCTGTCATTGAATTCTCTCTTAATATCTAATCCTGCTGAAGATTGAGAAAATTGTAAAACAATTTGTCTATATATAGAGCAAGTCCTGCTATTTGTATTGTAAAATGAAAAATTGGAATTGGGGGAAAGAACTTTAAAGATATATCAAGGCTCCGACTGCTAGCCTTGCTCTTTGGTTCAACTTCATGCAGCAAGTTTTCCACTTCAATAATCCAGGTTTTATGTACATATAGTATATAGTCTGAATATAAAATATAGCATATAAATTCTGGATCAGTGTCAGTTTATTGCCATGCAAACGCAGTCCCTTAATTATCTTTCAGCAATCGTGTTGAAACTTTGCATAGGCCCGTCTTTCTGTTGCAGACAGCACATATGTCGATATCAGCCGAATCGGATCACCATATATATATATAAAGCTTATTTATTTTACCCGACGTTTCACATATAATCAAAGTCTGATCAACATCGGAACATAGTTCTATAGATAGAGCAGCAAAAGCCAAATGTCTGCTTACTTTCTCATTAGTTCTAAGAACGAGCCACACGTGAGCTAAATCTTATCAACATCGGATTAGATTATCATATAGGTCTATGGTAAGAATCGGTCGGTTAGTTTTATTTTAGTTCCCTTGGTATCTTCACGAAACATGGCATTTGCGATCCTCACTATGGAAGGATTTTAGATATCCATAAAAATATCCAGGAGAAATTTAATTGGGACATTTTTCTAGTATAAGCATGAGAACTGAACTTTGTGAAATATATGTCTGACAATCCATAAAAAAGGACTTTTAAATTGATCTGAATTTGTTCTCACAATTGAAATGCATCTACCATGAGACTAGCTTTGATGGCACTTGGCATATGGTTGATACTTTCAGCCTGGCCCACCCATCACCCCGGCTAGCTACTTTAGAGTTTTCTCAGGCCTCGGGCCTTATCTGTGGGCCAGCTGACGTTGCGCCTGCCCAGAAGGAGGGAGAGAAAAAGCCGCCTGCTATCCCACGCTTCCGACCGAATTGACCATAAGGAACTTTACGTGGGAATCCTTGACTCCGAGTCGAGAGTCGAGAGTCGCGACTCGGAGTCGAAGTTCTTGCCCTCTTTGAGCATATTGCACACGCTGAAAAATTAACTTTTGACCCGAAACATAGACGCGACCCGCAATTATACAGTCGAGGAGGAGGAGGAGGACGAGGAGGAGTGGGACGAGGAGAGGCGAGGCATACATATTCATCATCGAGTCACCCCTTGTGGGTGAGAGCGAGAGGGTGGGCCGCCTTGAGAGGCAACACCTGTGCCATGTTTTGGGTAGAAGGTGCTATATGACTTTCGAACTGGGAAATCAGTCCAACGGAACCGAAGCTAACCGGACCGGGACAGGGACCGGGACCGGGACCAGGAATGACACCCACCCCTCTCTGGATGTGTGTTTGCATGCATAATCTTTGGTCATTGTCATCCCTTAGACTGCATTCTTGGCCAGCAGCAGCGGGTTAAGGGGCTACTGTTGCTCACCTGTGCGTGTGTGCGTGTGTGTGTGTGTGTGTGTCACCTGGTGGTTGTCCAAGTTCACGACGAGCTGCCCGCGCTGCCCACCGTCCGTTTTGATAGTCATTTCCCCTCGGAATTGTCATTGGACCTCTCGCTCTCTCCCTCTCTCTCTCTCTCTCTCTCTCTCTCTGGCCTTACTTTCATTTTGGTAACAATTATCTATTCAACGTCAAGCCGTATACCCTATATGAGGCTATATGAGTGCACACGATTTGGTCGCTGCTACCAATTTTGTGTTAAGTGTTTGCGTGTTGGCCCTGCTCTGCATTTGTCTGTCTCTGTGTGTGTGTGTGTGTGTGCTGGTCATATGCCAGTGCGTCCTGGCTAGTCCTTCCGCAGATTGTTAGCGAGCAAATAAAACATTAGCTCGGCGGCATAATGCGCCCAGTGCGACACACTTGTTCCTCAAGCGCGAACCCGAACGGTTGTGTCAAGTGCTCCCTAGATTGTTAACCCATATACTACTAACTATAATATATATAACATATCGCAACATCCTCAACTCGGATCAGTCTGAAATAGTACAGCGAAGAAGTCTCAAGTCAAGTGTGAGTGTCGTGAATCCTTGCTAGAATCTAATCTAAGCATGCACAGAGAAATCAAAACTGAATTAAATAATAATTTTAGAGGAGTATAAATTCAGCTTCAAAAATTAAGTTAAACATTTTATTTAAGAATATTTGTGCAATTTTTAATTTGAAAACAAAAAGAAATATTATTTATGGAACTCTTGAAAAAATACAAAAATACAAAAATTTTAGAAAATATTTTGAATTAAAAAAATGGTTCAAATTAAGGCAAATATTTCAGAAAATATTTTCTGCAAATTTATATTGTACGCTCATTTTTTCTGAATTAAAAAAAAAATGGTTTAAGTTAGGGCAAATTTTAGAAAAAATTTGATAAATTAAGGCAAAAATATATTTTTGATTCGCCATAAAATAGAACATTTTAGGCATGTTAAGAAAATATATTTTTTAAAATTTATATTACGTTCAGTTTTGTTTTGAGGAAATATTATATTATATATATTTAAAAAAAAAATTAGAAATTATTTGTAGGAAGATTTAAATGAGCAGCAAATTGTAATTGAAATCTCAATACTAACTCAACCGTTTTGGAAAAATCGTAAAATAATTGTAAAAATCAGTAATAATCTAAAAATCTCTAATATCTCGGCATCAATAGAAAACTAGGCTCAAAGTCGAATACAATCTAGCCATGCCTTGAAAGCCCTTCGAAGCTAAACTCTCATAAATTCAACTTAAGTTTCCCTGTTAATGTTCCTTTTAATAACTCCTTCCTTTATCTATTTAACAGGCTTTTACAGCGGCGACGAATTTTCGAAGGAGAAGAAAAACTCATCGTTAAATAGTCAGTGCGACAACGATTTCACAGACGACGAAAACGGTTTCGATATACGCTGTGAGGTCTGTGATAATGTCTATACGGATCTAGAACGGTAAGCAAAACCCGACAATTATATAGATACTATAAAGATTCGCAAAATCGAATGCACAGTTTTCATATATGTACATACATATATATTTTTTGGGCGCCGCCGGAGAATGTCCGCAAATTGCTTTGGCATTTAGCAAGAGGAGGGGGGAAAAAAAGAGAAAAAATAATCGAAATCAAAAACAAGAAACAAAATACAACTCATAAATGTTAGCTGAAAACAAGCTGCCAATTAGCTTCCAACTTACCCAAAGAATTGCGGGCAAGGCGCATTCGACGCGTTCGAGGCGAACTGCAAAAAAACCAAAAAAAATATGCTTAAACTATTCCCAATTGTTGCTAAACGTCGGCGGCGGCTATCTTAATTGAGAGTCGATAATACCCATTGATAATACCCATTTAGTGTGGCCAATAAAAAAGCCATTAAAGCCGCGGCAACCGCGTTGCCAAACGCCTGAAAGTGAGAGTTGCCAACGGAAGGTTTGCCGATCTATTTGCTTTTAGATACTTATTTTTACACTTTTGGAAGTTCGCCTTTGATTTGGGGCTTTCGGTAGCAGCAATTTATTTGTAATAATTTGGTTTCCTTGCCTCCACCTGAGCTTTGACCCATATTAAATAAAAGACAGCTCCATTAGTTAGGGAATTCATTTCAATTCGCATCACATTTCATATCACATAATTTCAGTTCCTTAAATATTCGAGAAACTACTCAGGAAATAAACAAATTAAACTACTCGTTCAGGAACATTAGGAACTAGTTCACTTGTAACAATTATATCTAGATTTTGGTCTCATTTGAAAGAAAGATGCACAATTTGTGGTCTCGAAAAGATACTAGAACTTTCTCGTATCTAATCTAATTCGTTTAATAAATAAATAAATGTATTTCAAATTGAAATGAAACATTTTTAACCGAGAGGCAATTGAAATGCAGAAAGAAAATAACTTTATTAGGATATTTAAAGAAAGAGGTTCTTTTTCTTTTTTAAGTTTTGTAAGATAATTTAGAATTCTAAGCTAAATTTCCAATAACATTCGTTATTTTTTGGCTGAGTCAGAGAGAGAGAGAGAGAGAGAGAGAGAGAGAGAGAGAGAGAGAGAGAGAGAGAGAGAGAGAGAGAGAGAGAGAGAGAGAGAGAGAGAGAGAGAGAGAGAGAGAGAGAGAGAGAGAGAGAGAGAGAGAGAGAGAGAGAGAGAGAGAGAGAGAGAGAGAGAGAGAGAGAGAGAGTCTTAGCTTTATAATCAGAGTTATATTGGCATAAATATCTATTTTAAAAGTTCATTAGTTCATTTGTTTTTATCTATATTTTGCTTTAATGATTAGTATAGATATAATTATACCGAACTAGTTCACTTGTGTTCATCTGAAGGTGGCATAAATAATTTAAACATCTTTTAAGAAAAATGATTTTAACATCTTACCAAAATGAGCTGATAAATACTTACAGTTATTATCAAAGGGAACTAGTTCATTTGTATGCATATACATATGTACATATATCTGGCACAACTGTTTATTACAACTATTAAATAACTGTACAAGTTCCCCTGTGTTCATCATTCTAATGGCATCAATTATTTGTTAACCACTTCAAACTAAAGAGATCTTTAATCAACTTAAATTACAATATTTAATGCAAAACTTTTGTACAATATTTACAAATGTTTTGCATTGCGACAACAACAGCAACAACAACAACAACATGAAAATTACATTTCTCGCTCCTCCGTTATTTCTTTCTTTTTTCAAGTGCTAAAGTGCGCTTTGCTTTGCTTTGGGCTAGTGCAAGGCTAGGCGGGGGAGGCGGGGGGTAGAGCCCAGGCAGCAAGCGGGTGGCCGGACACAGTGACACTTATCAGTGTATGTATGTGCATGTGTGTGCGTGATTTATTGAATTTTAGATGAGAAGCCCTCACAGTGAATGGAGAAGCAATGCGAGCAAACGCTGTCCCTCTCTCTCTCTCTCCCTCTCCCTCTCTCTCGCGCTGTCCGTTGCCTGCGTGTCGCTGGGTCCGTCAGGCTTTGCAATTTATCTGATGTTGAACATGCATAGTTTACCGTTGTTGTTGTTGTTGTTGCTCTTGCTTTTGTTATTGCTTTTGCTTTTGCTTTTGCTGTTGTTGTTGTTGTAGGCAAACCAACGCCCACACTTGAAACGCACAAGAGGATTGAAGCACTGGGCCCCGCGTCAACTCTTCCATGTCGATGACAAAAATCACAACAAAAACAAAAACGAAATAAAAATCGAGAGAAAAAAAAGAATATGCTAAAAATGTGTCCGCCTTTTGTCGACAGTTGCTCCTCCCACGCGCTGCGACGGCGAAAGCGGCGGCGATAAGCATCGCACTCGCTGCTCCACAATCAAGGACACCCAAGGGAGGTGGGAGCGGGGGGTGCTGCAGAGGACACTCATTGGCCGCAGCTGTTGCAGGGCGCGATCGCTTATCAGCGTCGCATATTAAATATTGAACATCATTTGACTAATTGACGCCAAAGGCAGCAGGCGCCTGTCCATGTGTGCGTGTGTGTGTGTGTGTGTGTGTGTGTGTGTAGGTGGGCGTATTGGACAACAAACAAAGTAGCTGTCAGGCAGGGGGAGGGGTGGGGGCGTGTGAATTGACGCACATGACTCTGATTGAGCAGATTGTTCAGAGCTTTTGTCCCAACTGCCACAAATGCTAATTTCATTTGCTGATGACAGCCACAGCGATAAGAAAAGTGTACCCACACCAACAAAAACAAAATATAAGAAAGGAAAAACTTTAATATCCTCACTCATGACACTTTATACCCTGTCTTTTTTTGCAGCCTGGATGATCATCTGGTTGGCGCGCATCATTTCAAGCGCGGCGAATTCGGCTGCGAGCTCTGTGCCCAACGTTTCTCCCATCGCCCTTTGCTGATCAAACACGGCGCGATCGCCCATAATAATATCAGGAAATATTCCTGCGAGAATTGTTCCAAGGTAAGTGCAGATTTTAAGAGTGTAAATGAAGAGAGCAAAGCACGAAGCGAAGAGTAGAATGGGAGAAGAAAAGTATGCAAAGGGAGAAGCTTAGATTAAAATTTTAATATTTTGTGATGTCAAAGCGGGCTTAGAAGGGATTTCGATTATGCTTTGTTATTATTAGTCGCCATATGCGTTATAATTCGCAATGAGTTTAAGCTCAGAATGATTGAAAGCACGCATGAAAATCCGTAGGAATAAAAAAAAGATGGTTTTCGAAGTTTCTTCTAGATTTACTAGATTTAAATGTGAAACTGACATTGCAGAAACATTTGAGTATATACATATGTAGATGGAATTTTGCTTTAATAAGAAGAATATCTATACATATTTCGACAGAGACAGCCTTATCTCCTAGTATTAAGTATTGATCGTAAAGAAAAGACTTTAAACCCTTTCCGTCATCTTAGCCACATGTGACAAAGAAACTGAACTTTGCTGCGCAACAAGTACGCAAATAGGTGTGTGGCAAGGCCCTTGGCCAACTGATCAGATCATTAATTATTATATCAGGTCTGCGGTATGTGGTACACAACTAAAGACTTTTGATTTCAAGCAGATCAATAGCCGCAGGCCTAAGAAAACCTCTTTGCCAGCTTGTCTCTTGCCTCTTGTTACCCCCCCGTCCCTGCCCCCGTCCCTGCCCCCGTCCCTGCCCCTGCCCCTGGCCATGTCGCACGCGCGACTCGTAATACGAAATCAGGGCGTGTACTCATCCAAAACACTTAAGCGACCATTTGAGCCAGTTGCCAGTTGCCAGTTGCCAGTTGCTTGGGTAATGAACAGACTTTTGTTGTAACTATACCCTGGAATCATTGTAATTGGGTGAAGGGGTTATACTGTTTTTGTGCATGTGTATGTAACAGGCAGAAGGTGGCATATCTAATCAGCCCCTTATCTTGTCTGTTTGTCTAAATCCTCCCATATCTGTAATAACGATAAATATCCAAACTACATACCATAAGGTTGTCGTATAGAATATACAGAATTTAAATATTTCATGCCTTGGAGAAGGTCCTCCGTTCCATCCGAAAAATATTGATTTTGCGAAATGAGAATATCTCGAGGATTATAAGAGTTATCTAGCCCAAACCTGTTATGTAAGTTTTCGTATGGAATATACATATTTTACTCTTATTTCACTCCTTTGGGAAGGTCCTCCATTCCATCCGAAATCGGAAAAAGGTAGCGTCTTGGTATGTACACACTTTTGTAGGCCCTACCTAAATCATGAATGTTCTATAAAGATCGGACTATAAATACCGAAGTTACTGAGGAAGGAATTTCCCATAAATTTTGCTGGGAGAGAGGAAGAAAACCCATACAATGTATGTAGGCAGGGGCATCTCCTATTCGATCATGCCCTCCTAGAGTACTCTTACTTGTTGTTGCACATCTTCGCGTTGCATTTGAATGCCAATGTTAAATTAAAGGGCCCAAGAGGAGCTTTTTGATGTCGGAATCTATCCAACCGACCGACCGACCGACCGACCGACCGACCGATCTACCATCGAATCATCCATCCATCCATCCATCTATGCATCCATCTATCTGGGCATCGTTTCGATTCGATTCCGAGCGATTCGTTTCGGGGCCCCGGCACTTCGTCATTGTCATCGACAGCGGCTTCGACAACTCTGGCAAAGAGATGTTTTTTAATGGCATGTTGATTACAATCTTGTGGTCGTCAGCTCTCAGCTACCAGCTCGAAGCTTTTTCTTTTCGATTTTCCCTTTTTCCCTTGTTGTTTTCCAATGCATTTCGAACGGTATTTCAATCGTTGCATTACAGTTAGTTTACTTAGCGCTCTGTAATTGTTTCGGTGGCATGTAAGTAGCACGCATTGTGGTCGAGCCCCGCTCCCGCCCTTAGCCCCCGTCCTAGCCCCGGCCCGCTGCGACATAAACGGGAGCCACTCGAGAGGCTAAACACAAATGTTGATCGATCTTCTGGCCACAGTGCTACATAAAAGGCCAAATACTTTCGCCTCGTCCCCAGGTTCAGCATTGACAGGGCAGCCCAAAAATAACCAAAAAAAAAAAAAAAAATAGTATAATAAGAAAAGAGAACTGCGAGGTCTTTGCAGCTGTCAGCTTTGTTTGTTTTCCAAGCAGCCGGGCTTAAAGCGTTACAAAAGGGATTTGCCACGGATCTAACATGTTTTCCATTTGCGCTTAGCCCCACTTCACCTATCCAAGCGAAACTGAGTAGCTGCCGTCGGAGAGCTGCTCGAAATAGGCTAACCATACTGAGGATCTGAGCTAAGTGGATGTCACTAACTCGCTAGACCTAAGGTCTCATGCTCCTAATAGGTTTGCAAACCAGAAAATTCCTTGATAGCCCTTCCTATTCGATAGATCTACAACTGAACAGCAATTTAATATATGGCATATATTCCTTCCTATTCGTTCTCAGAGAAATTCGCTACGGTCGTAAAGAAACTGATAAAAATTCCTTCGCAAGGAAGTCTTCCGATTCTTGCCGTTTTTTCTTCCAGGCCCAATTTGATCCTGTTCACTCTTCTGATTGTTTAAACTTCCAACTTGTTAGGCTCTAAGAAATAGATTTCCTATCTTGAAAGAACAATTTAAAACCTCATCCACTAAGTTCTTTCCAAATTCCTATGCAGAGTCTAAGGAATATATAAATTCCTTAATTATTCCTATGTAGTTGGACAAAGAAGTTCTCTATTAAAAACTCAGGAATTGAACGTACTTCAACCCAGCTGACTAACTCTTAAAGAGAGGCATATTCTATAATAAAGATCGATCTGGTCTTAGCTATATTGTGCGCAGAGATTTTATTCCATTCTCGGTGTATTCCTTTGTCTGCACAAGATCTTCCATTGGTTGAGAGTTCCTCTTCCCATAGCTGTTGTAAGTGTATAGGATCTGGATCACTTGCTCTTAATTAGTATTTGACTTTGCGAAATAAATTTCCCAGCTTAACAGTAAAAGTTAAAGCCTCATCCAGTTCAGTCTGTCATAAATTTGTATGCAGAGGCTAAGGAATATAAATATTCCTAAGTTATTCCTAAGTTATTGGAGAAAAGGGTTCTCTATTGAACAACCAGGAATAAAACGTACTTCAAGTCAGCTAAGTAACTCCTAAAGAGAGGCTTACTCTATTATAAAAATCTATCTGGGATAAGCTACATTGATTTTATTCCATTCTCCGAGTATTCCTTTGTCTGCACAAGATATTCCATTGGTTGGGAGTTCCTCCTCCCATGGCTGCTGTAAATGTATAGGATCTGGCTGTTGCACTTAATTAGTATTTTACTTTGCGAAATAGATTTCTTGGCTTGGCAGCTGTGTGCGGGTTGAGTTTAACCAGTTTGCCTGCACCAGATCTCCACATGCCATCATCATCTTTTAGTGCCCTACTCCAGACGCCTTTGGCTGACCCCACGTACGGGCCTAACGCCACACAGGCAACACTGGCAACACAGGCAACAACTGGCTAAAAAAACAACAACAACAACATCAGCAAGACAACTGCCTCAGATCGCAGACAATCGCATTCCATAGGCCCCAACCTTTGCTTGGAGCTCCAAGCACCAAGAGCTCGTCTTGCCGTCGCCGTCGCCTTTGCTGCCTGCATGCCTCGGAACACCTACACGTTAATCCAGCTTCAGTTGTACCTGGTTGTTGTTGTTGTTGTTGTACCTGGTTGTTGTTGTTGTTGTTGCTGTCTTTTGTGGCGTTTTTCGCCTTTTTGGAGAGGTAGTTGAATCTAATCCATTTGATGTAGTTATAGCACGAGCTATTCTTGTGTGTGTCGCCGTTGTCTTCGGGCCTCGCTGCTCTCTCTCTCTCTCTCTCTCTCTCTCTCTCTCTCTCTCCAATAGACAAAAAGAAGAGGAGAAGAGGGGGGAGATAAAGGCAGACTCGATCATCGTTTGATATGAATTCGTAGCGCATTATGACAGCATGATTAGGCATAACAGTTTCGTAAAAGGCAGCGCGGGCGGAGGAGGAGGAGGCTAAGACCCAAAATCAAGTTTCAAGTGGCCAAGTGAGAAAAACTCGACTTCGACTGCGGCTTCGACTGCGGGCTGGCCCAAAATGAATGGCTCGATCTGTCATTGCGTTACCCCCCCTCCCCCTACCCAAAAAAAAAAAAGCAAAGCTTTAGCTGTGGATTTAACTAGGGTTGAATCGCGTCGAGTCACAGCATGGCGAGGATTTGCTCTGAAAAGTGACTTTGGTTTGGAATTATTAATTTTCGAATGTTTTATTTTTCAATAACTCGAGGAAAATACGATGTGGTAATCAGAGCTAGGTTTTAATTGAACAATAAGTATTTAAGCCTTACGCATACCAATTTTCAGGAGTAAGGATTTATTTATAGGGTATTTAGGCCATACTGAAAGTTAATTGACTTGATTTTCACTTAGTTCACATTACAATAACTCGATGAATACGATGCTATGGTAATTAAATTTAGTTTTAGTTTAACAATGCATAGTTAAACTTTACGTATAACAATTTTCAGCAGGATAGCTTTATATATCGGGTATTTTTTTTTTGTAATCATTTGTTGTTTTGAATCAATAATAGAATACATTTTTTGTGCAACACAGTTGGCTTAGATGATATTTCAGGTATTTAGGCCTGAAAGCTCGCTTAATTTTCTGTACAGCAAGCAGTCACTGTTTAGCCAAGTAGCAGTCACAATTTGGCGTGTAGCAGTCACTGTTTGGCCGTCACGGCAACTGTGGTCACGGCTTTGATAGTCAGCTTGAGGGGGGTCGCAGAGCGGGGGGAGAGGGAGGGTGGATGGGGGGGGGGGATGGTCAGGCTTACGACAATTGTAGCAATTGATGTTAATAATTGACGAAGGTGTTGCTGCCGCTGCTGCTGCCGCTGCTGCTGCTGCTGCTGCTGCTAGTGGGTGGAGGTTGTTGTTGTTGTTGCTGTTGTTGTAGTTGCTGCTGCCTTTGCGTAATCTGAGAGCGCGGAGGGGCATTGTCTAGGCGCTCGCATAGATCCGTTTAGGGGCCGCCGCCGCCGCCGTCGCAGCAGATGATTGATTAATTTCAGTTTCATTTCATTTGGCACTTGGAAGCAGAGCAATCCGCAGGCAGACTCAGACTCAGACTCAGACTGAGACTCACTCGACTCAAAAGTTAATACTCATTCGTTATTCAAATTCGATTCAAATGCGATTCAAATGCGAAGCTGATTGTTTTATTTGGACTCTGGTTACTTTTTTTTCAGGTATTCTGCGACCCATCGAATTTACAGCGTCATATTCGCGCCTATCACGTCGGCGCTCGCAGTCATCCGTGTCCGGAGTGCGGCAAAACGTTCGCCACCTCGTCCGGGTTGAAGCAGCATCAGCATATCCATTCGTCCGTGAAGCCATTCGCGTGCGAGGTCTGCTTCAAGGCGTACACACAATTCTCGAATCTGTGCCGGCACAAGCGCATGCACGCCGACTGCCGCATGCAGATCAAGTGCAAGAAGTGCAACACTAGCTTCAGCACGGTCACCTCCCTCTCCAAGCACAAGAAGTTCTGCGACAGCTCACACAGCTTTCCCAGCCAGCCAAACAGTCGACTCCATCACCACCAGCAACAGCAGCAGCAGCAGCAGCAGATCGCGACGCATCATCAGTCGGCGCCGCCGCCGCCGCCGCCGTTGCTTTTGCCGCCAGGTGCTCATCAGCGACTCGCCGCTGCCGCCGCCGCGGCCGCTGCCAGCAGCAGCAGCAGCGAACCGGGCAGCTCTGCAGCCATGGCCACGCCGCCGAATCATATATTCATGATGCGTCCGACGCCGTCGTTCTTTCCGGGCTTTCCGCACTACGGCTTGCCCAACTTCTTTACGCCCGGCCTGCAGCAGACGGGCAGCTTCCAGCTGCCGCACATGTTCTCCGCCGGCGTGGACATGGGTCGCGGCCTGGCGCCGCTTGTCTCGCCGAACGCGACGTTCCAGCAGCAGCTGCAGGCGGCCATGAGCCTCAAGTCGGAGGCGGAGGCGCCGTGCCTGAAGCGCGCGTCCAACACGCCGGAGCGCAAGCCCATCAAGGCCGAGCTCCAGGCATCCGATGAGGAGCCGGAGGAGCAGGAGGAGCCGGAGGAGCACCTGGACTATAATTGCAAGCTGCAGACCGACTGCAAGCGGGTCAAGCGGGAGAGCAGCTGCTCGCAGCCCCCAGCAGAAGATGAGCAGGAGGACATTGACAATGACAGGGTAAGCACGCAGATCTTCTAGAGAAATCGAAGCAGGTTTAGCTGACAAATCCTTTTGCCCCTTGCAGAAATCGATAGACATAATCAGCACGCCGCCGCCCGCGGAAACGGAGCTGCAGCGGGAACTGGAGCCGCAGCCGGAGCTGGACAAGAGCAGCGCAGCGGAGTTGCCGCTCGACTTGTCCATCAGTCGCAAGCGACGCAGCTCGCACACGACGACACCCGTGCCGCTCGCCATATCCCTGTCCAGCCGCACGCCCACGCCCGAAATGGAGGAGGCGGAGGAGCCGGAGACGGAGGCGGAGGCGGAGAGGCTGCCGCCACCGGCCAAGCAGCTGAAGCACAGCTCCGGCGAATCGTCCACCTCCCGGCAATCCTACAAGGGCAGCTGCCGCAGCACGCCCAGCGTGAGCGCCTCGCCGGGACCCACGCCCTCCCCCTCGCCGCCCATCAGCAGCAATGGCGGCAGCAACGAGCTGAGCAGCATGTCCGAGAGCGGCGCTGCCGCTGCCGCCGCTGCTGGCGCCGCTGCCGCTGCGGGCGCTGCTGCCGCTGCCGCAGCCGCGGCAATGGCCTGTCCACGGCAGATGCATCCGCAGCTGCTGCTGGAGGAGTTCTATCGGACGACCTTCAACCAACAACCGTTTCATTTTTTAGGCCAAATGGGCGGACGGCCAGGTTTTGAGTCGAAGACGCCAGCTGCTGCCAGCAGCAGCAGCAGCAGCAGCAGCTCGCGTCATCTGCCGTTTCCGCCCGAGCACAATTTCCACGAGGCGCTGCGTGCCGCTGGCCTGGCCGCCGCCGCCGCCGCCGCCCGACCACAGACAGTCGCCGCCGCCAACAACGGGGGCAAGCTGAAGGATCGCTACACCTGCAAGTACTGCGGCAAGGTGTTTCCGCGCTCCGCCAATCTGACGCGGCATCTGCGCACGCATACCGGCGAACAGCCGTACACGTGCAAGTACTGCGATCGGGCGTTCAGCATCTCCTCGAATCTGCAGCGGCACGTCCGGAACATACACAATAAGGAGCGACCGTTTCGCTGTCACATGTGCGATCGGTGCTTTGGCCAGCAAACGAATCTCGATCGGCATCTGAAGAAGCACGAGGCGGACGCCGGCGGCTTCGAGTACAACGATTCGCCCAGCTCCAATGAGGCCAACGATCGGGACGAGGCCTGCTTCGACGACATACGCTCCTTCATGAAGGGCGTCTACACGCCCAACAGCCTCCACGGCGCCGATGGCGACACCGAGGAATATGCCGGCAGCGACGACCAATTGTCCGTCTCCACGCGCCAGTCCGTCAGCTTCGACAAGGAGCTGCTGCTGCTGCCCAACAACAACAACAACAACAACAACAACAGCAGCAACGTCAACAACAACAACAACAACAGCAACAGCAGCAGCAACAACAATCAGACAACTTTGAGCGAATCCATCGCCGTGAGCACCTAGAAAAGCGATTCGGCTTCTTCTTCTTGAAAACTCTAAAAATTACTTTAAAACAAAAAAACTTTACTTAAGCGTGCCTCCGAGAGGGAAAACTAATCTTTAAGTAGTTCGCATTTTTTCCTTCTAGATATTTAACTAAAAAAACAAAAACAGATTATAAAGATTATATCAAGAAAAAAAAACTAATTGTAGCTATGCAATCAATGGAAAAAGACGGTGAAGTAAGCAAAAAAACAAATCGATTTAAATTATAACAAAACAAAAAAAATATATAAAAATAAATCAAAAAAAAATGTTTCAATAGCTCATATATAAAAAACTACAACTTCTTACAATATGCATAAATGTAAATTAATTATTAACAAATACAAAAAGAAACCCACTTAAAACATATTCTAGTTATCTTAAGTCTTAGTTATGTGCTGTATGTAAATATATTTAAGTGGACTAGGTGCGACACTTGATCAAAGTACTTGTCGTCGGATAGAGTATTACAGCAAGCATATTTTGATTGTGTATTCAATAGAGCTTGCCCCACACATATATATACCCTATATACATGTGTGTGTGTCTGTGTACGACTAAGTTTAAATACGTTTAGTGCTAATTATTGCAATTCTCAAAACAAATTTTATAACATTTACTTAACGTTTAATATATATAGATTATATATATATATATATATGTATATGAGGAAAGATCGTTATGGATATATTGAAAAACCAATAAATAAAACAATCACATCAAA